CCAGTCAAACATCAGCCACAGAGCGCTGAGATGAACTATCCCAGCCAAGTCTTGCAAATTGCAGGACTGTGAGCAAATGAACAAAATGTTTCAGCCACTAAGATTGGAGATCGTTTGTTACATAGCAATAAGTAGTTGAAACGCAAAGGGTATCAGCTTGTGGCCTCAGGCATATGAAATGAAAAAACAAACAAACAAACAAACAAACAGCTAATCTCCTTAGACTCATCTCCTGCATCCAGTAACTTACCTCTAACATCCTTCCAATTCTAAAATTCTTTGAGCCTGTGACTCCTTGGCTCATTCCTTTTCCTATCAGAATAGCCTTGTATCTACATGATTAAATGATTTTAGTTTACAGAAGCTGACTGGCCTGACAGGGGAGGAAGAATGGTCTTCCAGAGGTAGAGGCAGTTAGCAGAGAAGCCCCAATAGTTCACGTGCTGGCAGCAAGGAAAGAAAGCTGGAAGTGTGTCTCCCGGGAGGATAGTGGAGGTGTGTATAGAGTAATTAACAGAATGTCCATAGAAAAGCAGCAGGCAAGCCCGAAACGGGCAGGTCGGAAACTGACTTGAGACATAGACTTCTGATTCATCTAGTCAAACAAAAGCACTTAGAAATGTACTGGGCCAGCCTCGTTAACATAGTGGGACCCCATCTCTACAAAAAAGAAAAACAACAAAATGAGCCAGGTATAGTAATCCCAGCTAGGAGGGAGGCTGAGGTGGAAGGATTGCTTGAACCCAGAAGTTCAAAGTTGCAGTGAGCTATGGTCGCACCACTATATTCCATCCTGGGTGACAGAGTGAGATTCCATCTCTAAAAACAAACAAACAAACAAAACTCTTTTTAAAAGAAGTTCAACTGATTGAGCATAAAACCAGGGTAATGGGACATCAGATCATGTCAAGTCTTATTGGTTGTAAGGAGTTTGTCTTTTTAATTTTTTTTAATTGACACATAATTGTGCATATTTATGGGGTACATAGTGATGTTTCAATAGATGTATTTATAGTCATCAGATCAGAATTAGCATACCCCTCATCTTAAACATTTATCATTTCTTTGTGTTGGAGACATTCAATATCCTTCTTCTAGTTGTTTGGAATGATCTAATATATTATTGTTAACTGTAGTCATCCTACAGCGCTATAGAACACTAGAATTTATTCCTGCTGTCTAGCTGCGATTTTGTAACCTTCAGCAGCTCTCTCCCTATTCCCCTTCTTCCCTCTGTCCTTCCAGCCTCCAATAATCTCTGTTCTACTTTTTACTTCTATGAGATCTTTTTTTCAGCTTCCACATATGAGTGAGAACGTACTATGTTAACTTTCTGTGCCCAACTTAGTTCACTTAACACCATGTCCCCCAGTTCCATCCCTGTGGCCACGAATGCCCGGACTTTTTTCTTTCTATGTTTAAATAGTTATTCTATTGTGCATAAATACCACATTTTTTAAAAAATCCAGTCATCTTCTTCAATATTCTTTCCTACTCTCTCTGAACTGGTCTGTCTTGACTGCCAGCTTCCAGAGGACAAACCGAAACATGTGTAGTTACTTCCTGCCTGCTTTTCCAAGTACTTATTCTGGTTTGTCTTTTGACCTGCTTCATGTGAGCTGGATGACCTTGTGCCAGCCATACAGCTTTTCTGAGTGTAGGTGAAATAAGTGCATGAACTGCTTTATGAAACGGTATTCAGATGGGATGGCATTTTCCAGCCATCCTAATGAGGTCAGAAGCTTCATGGCTAAGCCAGGCAAGTGCTTTCCTCCCTAGTCCTGGGAACAACCAGTCACTAATCAGCCTTGGTTGCTTTTTCTCTTTATAGTGAAGGACTATGTCTGTCAGTTGCATTCCACTCTCAAAACTATCTATGATTCCAGAATGCTATTGCTAATATTCTTGACAATTACATAAAATCAGTTAACCTAGGCTATATCATGGCCAGTGTTGGCACAGGGTGGGGTAGAATTACACAGGGAAAGCAAATGAGAGGCTTTTCTTTTTTTGTTTTTAAGAGACAGGGCCTCACTTTGTTGTCCAGGCTGGAGTAAAGTGGCATGATTATAGCTTACTGCAGCTTTGAATTCCTGGGCTCAAGTGATCCGCCTGCCTCCACCTCCCAAAGTGTTGGGATTACAGACGTGAGCCACTGGGCCCAGCCTTGGCCAGCTTTCTTCCCGTTTATGGTCCAAAAAGAAGCAGATATTTCACCTCGTATATTGGAGCATCAGTGGAAGTGCCCCTCCTTGCCAAAGAATGCACATAACGGAAGTGGAGAATGAAGGGTTCTGGGACACTGCCTTGACCTGTTCTGATGGCCTCTGGTGTGAGCTATGCAGAACCACAGGAAACTACATCTGCATAAACCCTTCCCAGTCAACACATCTGAAAATCAAGTGAGCACACAAATGGGCAATCTTAGCCAACAGAAATGGCCTCGTTCTGATTTTCTGGAGAGTAGAGAAGAAAAACCTGTTTATTGAACATTTTTATGCCATGCATAGTGTTCAATTCTTTTTATGCTCATTTACTCCTTAGATAGAATAAATAGCCCAATGCAGGTTTATCTCCATTTTAGAGATGAGGAAAACAGTCTCGGAGAGTTTTGGAAAATTAAAGTCACCCCTTGAAGACTACACAGCTAGTAATGGGGAAGGCTGGGAATTGGAGCCTTTGGGTCTGCTGTCATCCTATCTTGACTTCCACACATTCCAGGAAAGTTCTCTTGTCTCTTTTCATTCTGGCATCATTGCCTTTTATTATTTGGCCCTGCTGTTCTTGCTATTTTCACAGGCTACAAGAACACAGAGACATTTCCTTAACCCCTGCCGTATGCAGAATACAGTCACAAGCACAAACCTGGGTGATAACCACACAAAACCAATCTGCTTCTGGCGAGCTTCACACGGCCCCATTGCAACTCACCTCCTTGCCTTGGCCTGGGGTGCATTCAGCTCCTTTCTCCAATTCAGGTGTCACCTCTACCAGGAAGCCTTCTCTGAGCCCTCCTTTTATTCCCACTGCCCAGTTCTCCCTGGTCTCTCCTATACTGCGAAGTACATGTCACTGTTGTTAATTACTATCATCCACTTAGGTGTCTGTCTCCTACACTGGCCCATGAGTTCTCTGAGGTCAGGGCTGTGACTGTCTTCTCTATTAGACTGCAGTGTCTCTGGGGCTTAGGGTCGTGTTCTCAAGATCTTTATAACTTCATTGCCATACATGAAACTAGCACAGTAGGGACTCAAAACTATTGACTGGATCCAAAAGATTGCCCAGAAGGACAATAAAAAGCGGTAAATATTAGGGTGGCCTATAAAGGGACAGCTCAATTCAGAGACAAGAAAAAAAAAATAACAAGGAAGAATAATCTAAAGAGAAAGTTTCCTGAAGGCCAGTGTTTTGAAGATGGCAGGGAATGTCTTAGTGATGCTCTGTGACATATGAATTCTTAAATTCTTAAAAATATGGTCCATGTCTTTCTAATTATTTACCATAATGAGTCTAATATTTGTATAATTCATACATACTCTACGTAAAAGTAACACCAGGGGTTTCCCAGTTAAAATTCAGGAAAAAAAATAGATCAAATATAATTTTTACTCAAGGATTTACTGAAAGGAGTAAACTATGTATTTCAATCATCTTACTAAACTACAAGATCTTAATTATAAATCAGCTTAAGTGGACACTTTCCATATTCCAGGACAGACATTAATTTGTGCCAAGTGAATGGTAAACAATGAGGATTCTATTCTCTTTATTGCTTCGTGGAATCATGGAAGATGTATTGATTTGTAATTGTTGTTATTTTAGCGATTCAGCATCCAAAATCCCTTCCTCCAACAAAACGCCCCATTTTTGGGGGGAGATTTCCTATTCCATACAGTTTTGCTTGGAGGTAGTGCTCGCCTCCTACTGCAAAGGGGTCTAGAACCTCAGATTTTCTGTTCCATGGCAGCCAGCAGGGTGAATGTATAAACTGGGCGTCTGACCAAGGTTTAGCCAACTGGCATTCTCTGTTGAGGCTTTGAATTAGGATGTGAGGGATGGTGAGAGGTCCTTCGTTGTTATGAAAGTTGTGTTACGCTGATACTACACAGCATATTGTAGGATCTAATCTTTATCATTTCTTCTTCTCCAGCTGTTTTACTTTTTGCTTCTATGTCCCCTGCTTCATTACATCTAATAAAGCAGCTATTTGAGGCCAATAAAGCCATTTTCCCATTTTGAAAGACTGGTTCCCATTGTTCTCTTGGTCCAATTGCATCCGAACGCCCAACTACAAGCCCATCTGAATTTATACCAAGATACTTCCCATAGCCAGATTTCAGGGCAATTCTGGAATCAGACAACTTGACAGCCGTTGTCAAGCCGTTGGTTTTGTGTGGTTATCACCCAGGTTTGTGCTTGTGACTGTATTCTGCATACGGCAGGGGTTAAGGAAATGTCTCTGTGTTCTTGTAGCCTGTGAAAATAGCAAGAACAGCAGGGCCAAATAATAAAAGGCAATGATGCCAGAATGAAAAGAGACAAGAGAACTTTCCTGGAATGTGTGGAAGTCAAGATAGGATGACAGCAGACCCAAAGGCTCCAATAAATAGCATTGGGCTATTTATTCTATCTAAGGAGTAAATGAGCATAAAAAGAATTGAACACTATGCATGGCATAAAAATGTTCAATAAACAGGTTTTTCTTCTCTACTCTCCAGAAAATCAGAACGAGGCCATTTCTGTTGGCTAAGATTGCCCATTTGTGTGCTCACTTGATTTTCAGATGTGTTGACTGGGAAGGGTTTATGCAGATGTAGTTTCCTGTGGTTCTGCATAGCTCACACCAGAGGCCATCAGAACAGGTCAAGGCAGTGTCCCAGAACCCTTCATTCTCCACTTCCGTTATGTGCATTCTTTGGCAAGGAGGGGCACTTCCACTGATGCTCCAATATACGAGGTGAAATATCTGCTAAAGTTGTGTAGCTGATACTACACAGACATACGGCTGTCAAGTTGTCTGATTCCAGAATTGCCCTGAAATCTGGCTATGGGAAGTATCTTGGTATAAATTCAGATGGGCTTGTAGTTGGGCGTTCGGATGCAATTGGACCAAGAGAACAATGGGAACCAGTCTTTCAAAATGGGAAAATGGCTTTATTGGCCTCAAATAGCTGCTTTATTAGATGTAATGAAGCAGGGGACATAGAAGCAAAAAGTAAAACAGCTGGAGAAGAAGAAATGATAAAGATTAGATCCTGCGCTGAAAGAGAAACCAAGAAAAAAGATGATATTCCAGAAGAAGACAAAGGAAATGTAAAACAGTGTGAAATCAATTATGTAAAGAAATTTCAGAGCTTCCAAGACCACAAACTTAAAATAAGTAAAGAAGACAGTAAAATTCTTAAAAAGGCTCGGAAAGATGGATTTTTGCATGAGACGCTTCTAGACAGGAGAGCCAAATTGAAAGCTGACAGATACTGCAAATGACTTGAGATTTTTGTTTCTGCCTTATCTTTCTGTGACCTGTGCGGGCCACTGGGAGCTTGCTGAGTTTCTACTTTTCCACTTATTGACTCTCCAATCTCCTAGTGATTTTGAGAGCCTGACATTCTTCCAATGAATTGTCTTTCACTGAAAAAGTCAATTTCTGTTGCATACAACTAAGGATTCTGTTTGAACACCAGCTAAAAATGGCCTCAATTTAAGACATATATGTGGATGCATAATGTGTATTAATAAAACATTAGTATTCTTATATTATGTTTCCCAACAATTACTATGTTTCCCCAGAATTACTTTGAGATTTTTTTTTTCTGGAAAATTATAGGCATTACCAAATAAAACAAACTGTGTGATGAATGTCTCCAGTTTGAATGAATAGCTTTTGTTGACATTCCATTATCTGTTTTTGTTTTTAGAAAATCTAACAGCCAGTTCTAAATCAAGGATAACATTTTATCTAATATTAAACCTAATGATTGCACTTTGTCTACCAGGGACAATGTGAGGCAATGAACAAACTTGCGGACTCCTCACCTTGTATAACTTCATCTCTCTCTAGACTTTGTGTATCAACTTCTATTCAGTCCTATTTATTGCTTAGACAGTTTCCATGATTCCTGATTTTCCCAACATTATCATTCAAATATTTTTTTTACTTATAAATGTTCTCATGGTATGTACCCTGGGGTTTATGTTTTTCTAATGTTAATGTATATCCATGATTCAATGCTGATATATTGATACTGCTCTGATGATTAAAAATGGAAAATATATGCAAAGCAGATGACATTGTGGTTGAAATGTACAGCTGTGGATGCATCTGCTTGAATAAGTTTAGAAAAATGATTGCTTTTCTTTCCCTTCACGCATTACTCTGTTATCAGGCATCCATCAGTCATATCAAAATGACTGGTACATTTTGAAAAACTTTTAAAAGTCTGCCTTAAGTGATATTCTCATATAAAATGATTTATAGTCAAGTTTAAAGTATTAAATTTTTTTGCTTGGCACATATTTGGGAAGAAAAGAAACCAGTAGTTTCCTATTATAAGATAAACTAATAGGAGATATTTTTGAAGATAATATATATTTTCAGTGTATAAAGTTATATCACCATCTGAAAAACAGAGACATTATGGTCTTACTCTTTTTTTTTCTTTTTTCTTTTTTTGAGATGGAGTTTTGCCTTTGTTGCCCAGTGCAATGGTGTGATCTCGGCTCAACGCAACCTCCGACTCCCGGATTCAAGCAATTCTCCTGACTCAGCCTCCCAGGTAGCTGGGATTACAGGCATGCACCCTACATCCGGCTAATTTTGTGTTTTTATTAGAGACGGAGTTTCTCCATGTTGGTCAGGCTGGTCTCAAACTTCAACCTCAGGTGATCCACCTGCCTCAGCCTCCCATAGTGCTGGAATTACAGGCGTGAGCCACCACGCCCAGCCAATGGTCTCGTTCTTATGAAGTGCCATAGTCCTTTCTTTCTTAGGAGTTTTAGGTAGGTATAGATTCTCTGACACAATGTAGATATTGAAGAGACGTTAGGTCAAAATTTCTGGGTGAAAGCTGATACAAGAAAAAAACCCTGAATCTATTGGACTATAGTTTCTGTTTTACAGAAAATAAAGACCAAATGCAGTGACTCACACCTGTAATTCCAGTGCTTTAGGAGGCTGAGTTGGGAGGCTCACTGGAGCCCAGGAATCCGAGGCTGCAGTGAGCTACAATCATGCCACTGTATTCCAGCGTGGGTGACAGAGAGAGGTCTTGTTTAAAAAATAAAAGAAAAAAAATCAGATTGCGAAGTGGCATCCAAATGAGGACACACAGCATGCATGACATCCTAAAAGATCTTGCTCCTAAGGACAGACACAATGAGCTTATCCAATAGGAAAATTTGTGGCTAAAAATGGAATTTTCCCACACATTCAAATTAACATAATATTCATGATAATTGGGATTAACATGCAAGCACAAGATATTTTTGTCAGTCTGAAAAAGTAAATCCTCCCAAGCTAAAAACTCTCTGATGAAAGAAAAATTGGAATAAAAAACACAGTAACTTTTAATGTATTTTTAAATGTTTTTATACACAAAATATCTTTGATTCTGAATTATACGAATCAAAACGCTGCACAAACATTGTTTCTAAGATCCACTAATGTTATATTATTATTATTTTTGAGACAGAGTCTTGCACTGCCACCCAGGCTGGAGTGTGTAGTAGTGCAATCTCAGTTCACTGCAACCTCCACCTTCCAGGTTCAAATGATTCTCCTGCCTTGCCTCCTGAGTAGCTGGGATTACAGGCACACACCACCATGCCTGGCTAATTTTTGTGTTTTTAGTAGAGATAGGGTTTCACCATGTTGACCAGGTTGGTCTCGAACTCTTGACCCCAAGTGATTTGCCTGCCTTGGCCTCCCAAAATGTTATTTTTTAAATGACATGCTTATATAACAGCTTTCTTTAAATCTGAGTTAAGAAAATTTGTCAGTATATCGTTGTTTTATCTTTCCTGACTATACTTACTAAGTTGTAAGAACAATTACAGCCACATTGATACTTGGCAGAATTTTGATGCTTAATGACACCTGTATATTGAGTAGCATCCAGTTAAAATATCAGTGTGGCTTTCATGCGGGAAAGAAAATGTTTTATTCAAGTTCCCAAAACAAACTTGAGGAGTTGCATTGGGTTTGGAATCAATAACAAAGGCCAACTTAAAATATGAAAACAAATAGTTTCATTTGGTGGGAGCTGAAATCAAATTTATATACATTATACTGAATCATGTGTCTAGTGGCATTTTCCAAGTTTTTGTTTATTTGTTTTAGGATAGGATCTTGCTCTGTTTCCCAGGCTGGAGTGCAGTGGCATGATCTCAACTCAATGCAACCTCTACCTCCTGGGTTCAAGTGATTCTCCTGCCTCAGCCTCCCAAGTAGCTGAGACTAGAGGCATGCACCACCAAGCCTGGCTAATTTCTTTTGTATTTTTTTTTTTTTTTTTTTTTGTAGAGATGTGGTTTCACTACGTTGCTCAGGCTGCTCTCAAACTCCTGAGCTCAAAGTGTCCGCCTCAGCCTCCCAAAGTGTTGGGATTACAGGCGTGAGCCACAGCGCCCGGCCTTGGCCCCAAGTTTTTAAGAGTCTACCAGGCCAAACCCTTCTCTGCCTTCACTGCATTTGGTTTGAGTTTACCCTTTCTTTTTTCCTCTTTCTTTTCTTTTTTTTTTGGGATGGGGTCTCGCTCTGTCCCCAGGCTGGAGTACAGTGGCACAATCTCAGCTCACTGCAACCTCTGCCTCCCAGGTTCAAGCAATTCTCCTGCCTCAGCCACCCAAGTAGCTGGGACTACAGGCACACGCCATCATGCCCAGCTAATTTTTGTATTTTTAGTAGAGTCAGGGTTTCATCATGTTGGCCAGGATGGCCTTGATCTCTTGAAGTCGTGATCCACCCGCCTCGGCCTCCCAAAGTGCTGGGATTATAGGTGTGAGCCACCGCACACGCTGAGTTTCCTCTTCCTTTTATCTCGCTTTGCCTTTGGCCTTTGGCCTTTGCCTTTGCCTTTGGTTAATCCATATTGGGCGGTGTCCATTCTGGTCTAGAGGTCATTTTGTGTCTCTTAATATTAGTTTCCATTCTCATGTTATTATTTTCATCTTTTACCTGACATTGCATTTTCTTTCTTTCTTTTCTTTTCCCCTCTCTCTCTTTTTTTCATTTTTGAGACAGGGTGACTAGGCTGCAGTGCAGTGGTGCCATCATTGCTCACTGCAGCCTTGAACTCCTGGGTTCTGGTGATCCTCCCACTTCAGCCTCCTGATAGCTGGGACTACAGGAGTGTGCCACTGTGCCCAGCTAATTCTCTTAACTTTTTGTAGGGTCTTGCCATGTTGCCCAGGCTGGTCTCCAACTCCTGGCCTCAAGCAGTCCTCTGCTTTGGCCTCCTGAAGTGCTGAGATTACAGGCCTGAGCCACTGCACCCAGCCCGTGTCACTGGGCACCACCACCGTTGCTATCCTTGAACGTCATTTATGAAGACATCACTGTCTACTCGGAGAGTATTTTTAAGCCTGCTGAGCTCCTCTGGGACATTCTTTTTTCTCTTTTCAGCCTAGTTTTTTTCTCTCTCTTTCCTTCCTCCCTCCCTCCCTCCCTCCCTCCCTCCCTCCCTTCCTTCCTTCCTTCCTTTCTTTTCCAGATATTTGAAGTAAAATTAATATTACAGAGTTTTCACTTTTTCTTTGATTTGATATTTTTGCATCTCCTTTCTCTTACACTGAAAATCTTGGTTTTTAATAGCAATTACTATGTCTTTTTAGATATTTTTGCCCTTAAAATATATTCCTCTAAGGTGGTACAATCAGAACACTGTTACCAAAAATCACTTGAAATAATTATTTTCTCTGTATAGTTATGCTACCAATTACATACGCGGTTGAGTTAATTTTTTTTTTTTTTTTTTTTTTTTTTTTTGAGACGGAGTTTCGCTCTTGTTACCCAGGCTGGAGTGCAATGGCACGATCTCGGCTCACCGCAACCTCCGCCTCCTGGGTTCAGGCAATTCTCCTGCCTCAGCCTCCTGAGTAGCTGGGATTACAGGCACGCGCCACCGTGCCCAGCTAATTCTTGGTATTTTTAGTAGAGACGGGGTTTCACCATGTTGACCAGGATGGTCTCGATCTCTTGACCTCGTGATCCACCCGCCTCAGCCTCCCAAAGTGCTGGGATTACAGGCTTGAGCCCCCGCGCCCGGCCCCCTAAGTTAATTTTTTAATTTATTTTTGATTTTCAGGTTTGTCTTTATCTGTTTTGATTTTTGAATATGTAAAACATTTATATGGTTCAAAACTGAAAAAATATATAAAAAGGTGTGCTCAGAGAGGACCCTGTTTCATTCTGTTCCTCTTCATCCTCCATCCACTGAGGCGTTAATGTTGGCTTTGCATTTATCCTTCCAGTGTTTCTTTTTGAAAAAAAATTTATCGGGCGCAGTGGCTCACGCCTGTAATCCCAGCACTTTGGGAGGCCGAGGCAGGTGGATCACGTGGTCAAGAGATCGAGACCATCCTGGTCAACATGGTGAAACCCCGTCTCTACTAAATATACCAAAAATTAGCTGGGCACGGTGGCGCGTGCCTGTAATCCCAGCTACTCAGGAGGCTGAGGCAGGAGAATTGCCTGAAGCCAGGAGGCGGAGGTTGCAGTGAGCCGAGATCGCGCCATTGCACTCCAGCCTGGGTAACAAGAGCGAAACTCCATCTCAAAAAAAAAAAAATTTAATATTCTGTTCCTTTTATATTTAACAACGTATCTGGAAGATTAGGGCAAATCAGTACACAGGAAATTTTCTCATTATTTTTAAACAGCAGCATAGTACTCCATAGCGCTATACTGTGTGGATGAACTGGATTAAATTAGTCACTTATAGAAGTGTGTGCATATAAATACCACGTCTAGTCACATGCTGGCGGTCACGGCGTTCTCTCTAGTATCTGGTAGTGCTCGTTTTCTAAGGTGGCTACAACAGATTACCAAAAATTGGGTAACTTAAAACAACAGAAATTTATTTTCTCACAGTTCTGGAATCCTGAAGTCTGAAACCAAGGTGTTGGACTTCCTCTGGAAGACTCTGGGGGAGAATCCTTTCTTGCCTCTTCCAGTGTCTCTTGGCTTTAGGGGTCTTTTCGTTGTGGCTCCAAAACCTCAACCTCTACCTTGGTCGTCTTGAGGCCTTCTCCTTTGTTTCTATGTTTTCACTTCTTTCGTTTCTTACGAGGACATTTGTCGTTGGATTTAGGGTCTACCCACATAACCCAGGATATTATTTTATCTTTAAAGACCCTTTTGCCAAATAAAGTCTCAGTTACAGTCTTCAGGGATTAAGACACAGACATATCATTTTGGGGGAAGGGTGGGCACTGTTAAACCCACTACATTGGCTGTTATAAATAGTGCTGAAAGGAATAAACTTCCATACATGGTTTTATATTTATTTCTCCATAGAGTTATGCTACCAATTATATATATTGTTGGGTTTTTTTTTTTTTTTTTTTTACATAGTTTTGATTTTCAGGTTTGTCTTTTTCTGCTTTAATTTTTGAATATGCAAAACATTTATATGATTCAAAAGTGAAAAAATATAAAACAGTATACTCAGTGAAGACACTGATTCCTTTCCACCTCATCCTCCATCCCACTTGAGTAGGCATTCATGTTAGGGTTTCTTTTATTTTTTAAATCCTTCCAGTGTTATATATCTGAATATCTGCAGAGTAGATTCTTAGAAGTAGAAATTCTGGCTGAGTGGTGGCTCACGCCTGTAATCCTAGCATTTTGGGAGGCCAAGGCCTGTGGATCACTTGAGGTCAGGCGTCTGAGACCAGCCTGGTCAACATGGTGAAACCCTGTCTCTACTGAAAATAGAAAAATTAGCCAGTCATGTTGGTGGGCACCTGTAATCTCAGCTACTTGGAAGGCTGAGGTAGATTTGCTTGAACCTGGGAGGCAGAAGTTGCAGTGAGCTGGAATCGTACCACTGCACTCCAGCATGGGGGACAGAGCAAGACTGTCTCAAAAAACAAACAAACGACAACAATAAAAAACTTTGGGAGGCCAAGGCCCATGGATAACCTGAGGTCAAGTGTTCAAGACCAGCCTGGCCAACATGATGAAACCGCGTCTCTACTAAAAATACAAAAAAATTATCTGGGCATGGTGTCGCACGCCTGTAATCCCAACTACTCAGGAGGCTGAGGCAGGAGAATTGCTTGAACCTGGGAGGCAGAGGTTGCAGTGAGCCGAGATGGCACCACCACGTTCCAGCTTAGGTGACGCAGCGAGATTTCATCTCAAAAAACAAAATAAATAAAAATAAAAAAAGATAAATTCTGGGTCAAAGGACAAATATTTATTTTTGCCAAATTTACTTCCATAGTTGTATCATGTAACACTTCTACCAGCCACGTTTTCTCTAGCTTTGCGCCCAGAGTGTGTTGTCAAACCTTGTCTGTGTGGAAGTTTTTGGTTTTTTTCTGATTCAAATGGTATTTTAGAGTAGTTTTAATTTGCATTGCAAGTTTTAAACTTTTGATCTCATTATCCTTATTTACTGATTACTGTAGGTCATTTATTCAACAGCACGTAACGTCTGCAAAACACTTGGCACTCTGTAACTCCAGGGACCAAGAATTCAGTACAAAGCAAGTAAAGCCCTCACGGAGTTCACAGTCCAGCAGGAACGAGTTTAGAAAGAACAACAGGAAATAAGAAGAGCCATATGGTATATGCCTGTGGGTGAAAAAGCACCAAGATAATGATACTACATGTTTCTTCCCTTTTAAGAGAAGATTTGGAGTTCTACATTTTCCCTACTGGGTAAAGGCTAGATATGATGGGTGAGATGAATCTATATGCACAGATGCCTGTTTCTGGTATCATCAACCTTGACAGTGTCACATGTTCACTGTACACTATCATTTATTCCCACATGTATCTAATCGTTCAGCCTGCTGAACTGGATTGGAAGCACTGGAGGTCAGGAGGATCTGCCTTATACATCTTTTATCTCCAAGGTTTAGAATCATGCCTTACATATTGCAGGTGCTCAATAAATGTTTGATGATGATGACAGCTTGCTTGGCAATAAAAAATGGAATTCCCTAAGACAAGTATATTCTGTTTTTTCAGTCAGTGTAAAGAAAGGTATCTTCTCTTACAGGAATGGGTAGTGAACATTGTGATTTACTCTCTGTAATCAGGTACAAGCTCAGCTGCTGTAACAATGACTCTCAAAATGGCTTAAGATAAAACATTATTTCACTCTCCTGTAACACTTTTGAAGGTTTGTGTTGTCATCTGGGGACTCAGGCTGGTAGGGCAGCTCTGCCATCATCTCGAGCATGGGGCTTTCATCTCTGGGTCTGAGAGTGATCCGTGTTATAGGGTTTATCAGTAGTCTGTTCTTTTTTATTGCTGAGTAATATTCCTTTGTATGAATGTGTCCAAACAGAGGAATATTACACAAGTCTAAAAATAGAGAGATGCTCTAAAGCCGTGATTTTTTTTTTTTTTTTTTTTTTTTGCCTGCCTGGTTGAAATATGTAGGACTATTTTAGCTTTTTATTCCATTGCATTTAATGAACTTTTATTGAGTTCCTCTACAGGCCAAATACTGTGCTCAGGGATGGGGATACAAAGGCATATAAATCCTTGGCACTTCCCTCAAGTTACAGTTCAGCCAGAGGAGAAAAAGACAGTTGTGATTCTACCTCAAATACTTACTGTAAAAGCTGAAACGATATCAAAACTTGCAAGATCCGGGTGCCACTATACAATCCTACAGCCCTACAGTGCAATTCCTGACCATCTTCCAGTTTAAAAGTCTTGCCCTAGGGAATAGGTGCCTGGCTTTAAAAAGTATACAGGCCTGAGTCAGATCCCTCAGGTTCTATTTCTGGTTATGCTACTGTATCGCCATGTGGCCTTGCACAACACAGAGAATGAGCCCTTACTACAAAGAGGCAAGATCCCAAGGAGCCTTCGGAGGCAGCGACCTCCATACCCCAAGTAAGGCTGGATTCCAGGAACCAAGGGGTCGGCTGGACTCTTCACCGGGAAACGCTCTTCCCTAGTGCCAAAGCCACTCATTTTAGTGTGAAATTAGAGCTGCGATTTTGGCACGGTCAGAGGGGCTTCAACTCGCTCCCTGGTGTGAATCCAGAAGCTAAACCTAAAAATAGTTTGCATTTGAAAAGCCTTGACACTTTTCTTACTGAGATGTGTGTGTATGTGTGTGTGTGTTTCATGTTGCACTAGAAGAAACGTGGTGGGCACGCAAGAGGGAGAATGAAGCTACAGGCGCTCTAGGCTGCCAGGGCAGGGGACCAGCGGATGCCGCCCTGCGCCTCTGCGACCCAGGAAAGGAGGTCGTAGCGGGTCGCCTGCGGGAGAACTTCATTTCCCAGGAGCGCCTGCGGCCCGCGGCAGGGCGGGGCGACGTGCCCAGTGACGGCCCATTGACTCCCATCGTGCCAAAGGCCGCCAGCCTGATTGGAGGACTCTCTCGCGGTGCATCTCGGGACTTGTAGTACAATGCTTACAGGAGGAAAGGTCCTTTGTGATTCGAGGAGCCTTCTCGGCGCTCCGGGCGCGTCCTCGCTAGGCTTTGGCGCGGACAGGCTAGTGTCCCACGAGGCGAGTCCTGGCTGTGCGCGCGTGCGTAGCGCCCAAGGGGCCGGCCGGCGCCTCCCGCGGGGCGGGGCCTTTGGTTCCGCGTCGACACCGCCTTCCTGCCCCGCCCCTCACCGTGACCGGCCCGCCCCTCCTTCCTGGAGCGGCAGCTGAAGCGGCGGCGGTGGCGGCAGCCGGGCTGGGGGCAGTGAGTGGCCCGCGCGACACGCGCCGGCCTCGACCCTATGCTTTGATTCGTGTGGCGCCGGCGTCTCCTGCCCCGCCGGCGGGGCCCGGGCTTCCTACCGCGGGATGTTTTCCCGAAGGAGCCACGGGGATGTGAAGAAGTCCACCCAGAAGGTGCTGGACCCGAAGAAGGACGTGCTGACCCGCCTGAAGCACCTGCGGGCGCTGCTGGGTGAGGCGGGCGCCGGGCGCGGGGGTCAGGGCGCTGGGTTAGGGGTACCTGTCAGGAGGGCGCCCGTCTGTGCGGGGGTCGGTGGCTGGGAGGCTGGGGAGGAGGATGGGTGGGCGTCCGACCCTCTTCCCTGGGTCTCGGTTTGGACCCCAGGGGCTTTGTTTCCCGGAAAGCCGCAGCCTGGCCTTCGGGCACTGCTCTGTCGCCCTCGAGTTAAACTTACCCCAGACTCTTGCTGGGCGCCTGCCCTCCCGAGGAACCTGGAGGCCGGGCGCAGAGGTACCTGTCCCCTCGCCTCCCAGCAAGTGCACTGAATCCCAAGTGATCATCACGCGCACACATTGAACTGTCATCTCCCCCTTTCATTTTTAAAATGTTATTTTTGATTCTGAGAGTCTAAGTAGACCGAGACCACAAGTGGACCCAGCACAGACCTGATTGGACTCTTATCTCTGTCAGCCCCCTTTTAAATTTTATTTTTACTTTTCAGTGTGAGACCCTAAATAGACTGAGAATCCAAGTGGTCCCAGCACAGATTTGTCATCTCTCTTCCCATGGTGCTTTTTTTAAATTTAATTTTTATTTTGGGTCTGGCTGCTTCAGTTTCTTCGTGTCCTTGGTGTGAAGGGACCTCCTCTTCCTGCTTGGAGAGAGGGGTGGTTTTCTTGGGTTCAGGGAGGCTGCTTCTCCTTTATGACTAGCATAACAGTGATGGTGTCTGCCATCTTCTGGTTTCTGGCCTGCGGGGTGGCGATTCTGAGGAGCTCAGGTGGGCCTGGAGTTGACCTGTGATGGCGCTCACCCCTGTGGGTGTGAGGTGTCCACAAGGCTTCCTGTCACCTGCTGCATGTGATCTGTAGCTGGTTTGCCTAGGCTGTGTTTTGTTTTCTGTATTTTTTTGTCTCCAAAATCTTAACTTATGTTTAGGATTAAAGCACTCTGCTGTCTACAGACAGACTGGCCTGTGTATTTGGTGGCGAAGGAAAGAACACCTTATGTTTCTTCTAGGTGTCATTTGGTCCTGAAATTCATGAAAGTCATCTCGTGCTAATGTGTCTGTCACTTGAAAAAATATGGCATAAAATGATTAATTACCGTGTGAGGATTTTAAATAAAGCTCTTGTTCATGAGATTAGAAGTTGCTTATTATTTCTATTTATATTCTACCTCTGAGGGGGAAAAGAACCCAAGTCAAACCAAACCACACCTGATTTTGCCAAGTGAAGTTGCTCACAATCTCACATTCCTTGAGGTTACACTTGTTCAGTTTGAAATGAAATGTAAATTAGTTACTGTGACAGGGATTCGTTTTCAAGACTTTTGAGAGTGAAGTGTGGTGTTCTTGGTAAACTGAATTTTCTTCTACTTCCTGTAGTAAAGTACAGTGCACGCACAGGTTGCACAACACACAGGTTGCATTGTGTGGAGTTCCTGCTAGTGACTGATCAATACCTACTGCAGGGACATTTTTGATAAAGGAGAGTTGAGCTGTGTTTTAAAGCATTTGATATTGTTAGACTTTTTCTGTCCTTTGGCATTTAAACTTTTGTTTGTTGAAGTCTGCAAGATTAAGTTGGCTACATTTTATGAAAGGAGAATCAAGTAAACCCAGAACGTGTTATTTCTTAGCCTACAGTAATTGTTCCCATTCTGAGAAAGTTGATTCTTTTCAAATTTGTGTAACTGTAGTTGCACTCTAAGGTGTAAGTCTTATTTTAGGGAACTTTCTTTTACAATTTCACTGAACTCATCATGACCTCGTTTTTGTAACATGGAGAGATCCTTTGATATTTCCTTAGGTGTATGTTTTTTGTTGATATCCTTATTTATGGAGTGGCCCAGTTTGCTTTGTATATTACTGTGATCTTTGCAGCCACTAGATTTTTGTAAAAATGTGTCTGAGGAGTTCTAGTCATAATATTTAGTGTAAACTTTCACTTACTATTGTGATTTAAAGACTTGAAAGTATAGTCCATTAATGCACTAGTTCCTACCGAATCACACATCCTATTTGATTGCTACTCAAAAAAAAAAAAGTCTGCTTAGAAAACAAAGGCCGTTTGAACTGAAAGATAGGAGTGAAGCCAAGATCAAGGAAAGTATTTGAAGGAAATGAATGGTAATTACTATTGTGTTTTTATGTGTGTATTTATGTAACACTTTTGCTTTTTATATATTTTATCTTCAAGTAATAATAAAGATTTTTTTAAAGTATACGAAGATTATGCCACTGACTCGGGTATTTGCAGTCTGTCCTGGCCACCTGCAGCTGTGTGACTTGTGCTGGTCACGTAGCCTGTTTTGAACCTTAGTTTCTTTGCTTTGTAAATGGGCATGGTAATATCTGCCTTTTAAAGGATTATTGTGAGTGTGATGTATAAATGACTTCAGCTTGAAGTGGGCCTTTTACAGTTCAGTAATAGGATAGGACAAGTATTTTGAAAGGTAATTTTCTCTTTTCTTTCTTTCTTTATAATAGTGATGTATGTGTTCTCTTTTCCTGAAAAGTAGTCTGTATTTAAAACGATTGACTGAGAAATATAAAATTAGCTGTGGAAGTAGAGTATTTCTTAGTGTCATGGCAATAGCTCCAGTTTGGACGTTGATACTTTGGCCTGGCTATATATTTAGACTGGTCTGATAGGATTAACTTTATTTTACAGAGGGGTAAACTGAGGCACAGCCAGGTAGCGAACGATTTACTTCTGTTACATTAGAGAAGCAAAGAGCTGTTAAGTTCTGTGACTTCTAGTTCTCCCTACACGGTTGACAAAACAAAAACCAGAAAACCCTGTGTATTACCATATTGCTCCAGCAAAGATTCCATTTCTTTTCTTTTTTTTGGAAAGGGTCTTGCCTGTTGTCCAGGCTGGAGTGCAGGTAGCTTGATCTTGGCTTGCTGCAGCCTCGATCTCCTTGGCTCAAGTAATCCTCCCGCCTTAGCCCCCAGAGTGGCTGGGACTACAGGCATGCACCACCACACTAGGCTAATTTTTTTTTTCTTTTTTTTGAGATGGAGTCTCACTCTGACACTCTGGCTGGAGTGCATTGTGCAATCTTGGCTCACTGCAACCTCTGCCTCCTAGGTGCAAGCGATTCTCATGCCTTCAGCCTCCTGAGCAGCTGGGATTACAGGTGTGTACACCATGCCTGGCTAATTTTTGTACTTTTAGTAGAGATGGGGTTTCACCGTGTTGGCCAGGCTGGTCTTGAACTCCTGGCTTCAGGTGATCTGCCCACCTTGGCTTCCCAAAGTGCTGAGATTACAGGTGTGAGCCACCATGCCCAGCCAGATTTTTGTATATTTTGGAGAGATGGGGTTTTGACATGTTGCTGAGGCTGGTCTTGAACCCACAGACTCAGGCAATCCTCCCACTTCAGCCTCCCAAAGCCTCATGCTGGGCTTAACAGCATGAGCCACCATGCCTGGCCAGATTCCGTGTCTAATTAAAACTTGAGTGCTTACTGTGAGTCCCAAATTAGGATATAGAAATGGTATGGATATAATGAGGAAGATACAAAATGACAGTAAACGTGTGGTGTGTTATATAATTAGATGGTCAGGTATATGGTAGACTCCGTTATAGGATTCCAAAGAACAAAAGAGATCGTTAGGAATGTCACAAAAATAAGGGCATCTTTAAGGAGGTTTGTAGTAGTCTGTTCTCATGGTACTAATAAAGACATGCCCAAGACTGGGTAATTTATAAAGGAAAAAGGTTTAATTGACTCACAGTTCCACGTGCCTCGGGAGGGCTCACAGTCGTGGCAGAAGGCGAATGAGAAGCAAAATCGTGTCTTACATGGTGTCAGGCGGGAGGCTTGTGCAGGAAACTCCCGTTTATACAACCATCAGATCTGGTGAGACTTACTACCTACCATGAGAACAGTATGGGGGAAGCCACCCTCATGATTCAGTTATCTCTACCTGGCTCCGCCCTTAACATATGGGGATTGTTACAATTCCAGGTGAGATCTGGCTAGGGACACTGCAAAATCAAATCAAGGTTTTACTTATGTTGGGCTCCAAAGAATGGTTAGATTAGTTCTGTCCAATAGAAATATAATGTGAACCACATGTGCAATTTTAATCTTTTTTAATGACATGTTAAAAAGTAAAAAGAATCAGGTGAAATTAACTTTAGTAGTGCATTTTATTTAATTCCATGTATAATATATATTATATCTGCAGGTAAACAATATAAAATGCTGTCAGCATTTTTTACATCATTTTTTTCATATGAAGTTTTTGAAATTCAGTGTATATTGTATACTTAGAGCACGTATCCATTCACACTAGCTGTGTTTCAAGCGCTGATTAACCATGTCACTAGTGGCTGCACACTGGACGGAGCGAGGTTAGAATGTGGGAAAGTAGAGGGGAAGGGCAATTCCAACCCAGGGAAGGTGGAAGAACTGGTGGTGGAAGTAACGTGGCAATAATACAGAAGGGTGAGGAAACCAACCTTTCACTGTGTGCAGTGGGGCAGTAGTGAGGTGTGGTGTTGGGCACTGAGGAACCTTGCCCAGAGGATGTCCACAGTGTCCTGCATAGGCCAGGGGTAGGGGAGGGTCCTGGGGAAGGAGTGGAACAGCAGCCTGAAAAGCAGAAGCTGAGGCTGACTGGGGAATCACAAGCCAAACTCAGGTCATATTAAGCAACTTGGGTTTGGATCAGAGGGGAGAAAAGTCTCTCACAAATGATCTGTATACAAACAGAGCAAAACATAACGTTGTGGTATATTTCCTTTTGTGAATCTGTTGCTGTAAGTAGGAACAAATTGACTTACAGTTTTAAATGTTGTCTTTTATCATAGTATTTTTCATGTTTTGTTCCTCACATTTTTAAGTACAAACGTTTGTTGAGACCATGTCCTGTAATTTAGCCTACCATTTCCTGGATTATAAAATTGTGAAATTGTTTTCTTTTCTCTCCTTCTTTCTTTCCTTTTTTTTCTTCCTTCCCTTTTCCTAATAGAAATAATACTGTAGTAAACATC